CCAACTTATTTCTAGACAGTCCCAAACTACCCAGAATTCCCTCACTAATCCTCAAAGCTAATGCTAAACGCAGACGGAGCAGCTCTCTCTGGTCGAGGCAGAACTGTGATCTATCCAGCTCAATGCCTATTTTTGGATAATAAGCCTGTAAATCCAACACTGATAGCATCATTGTAATGTACTCTCTCACAATCACACGCGTCTGAGCCGGGGAGGAGAGATGGGAGAAGCCATCTTGTAAAATTGCTTGAGCAGTTTTCCCCAGATAATCAGGACAGAGGGATGTTGGACAGTGGAAGTCATGTTCTTATCTTTGACTCTGAGGGAATCACTGGCAGAGCAGGATAGGCTCTGTTCTCTAAGGCTCAAAGACTCGCAGTAAAGTGCATGCTCAGCACATTTCTGCAGACACAGAGACAGACATGTGTGTTTTTTGTCAGAAGTATCTAAAACCTGATACTAATTGATATTAAATCTAGTAATGAAGCTAGATACTAATGAAGCTAGATACTAATTTGGGCAGGTATCATTACTAAAAGTCAGATTTACATAGCAGAAAAGAACCTTGAACAGCTTTAGAATGATATTTAACTGTATCAGAACAAGTATAAGACCACATAGACCATTATACGCCCATGGACCACTATGGAACCTACCTGGACAACTGAGGGATTACAAAGATGTGAGATTGTATGGTACGATAAATGAATGTTCTACAATTTTATGTTGAAAATCACATTCCATTGTCTAAAGCATCAGTACTCCTTAGTATCAGTACTGAGTTAGAAACTGTAGTACTGGGACGACACTATGTTTTTAAGCTTCATTCATATTTGTAGAGGGCAGAAATACATGAGTCACACTGCCCTCTATTGAAAGGAAAAGGTTAAACATTAACAATGTGACCCAGAGGAACACAGTGTAATGCAGGTATAATCTATAAGCCTTCTTTCAAAAGTTGTTTAGGCTGGGGGTTCATTTATTTGTGTATTTAATCTTGCCTTCCTGATGACACACACATGAACATACATACTCATATGTTTCAATGGTTTTCAGAACATTACATTGACTTACATTCATTTACTCTAACTTTCATTATAGTCACTAGTCTCACCTCAACCTAGTTTTTGTCCCCGTAGGAGGGATGTCTGGGTCTGTCCAGTGTTTAGACCAGACACACACAGAAAATGCTTTTTTTCAATTTCAGTATTTTTAAATGTAAAAGCATATATAATTGCATTTATTCATATATGGTGAAAAACTTGTAATACAATTTTTACTCCCTTATTAGGGAGCTGAGCTGAAAGGCAAAGCTCTTGATCAATCTTAGTTCCTACCCTCACCTATGGTCATGAGCTCTGGGTAAGGACCGAAAGGACAAGATTGCAGATACAAACGGCCTCCGCAGGGTGGCTGGGTGCTCCCTTAGAGATAGGGTGAGAAGCTCAGTCACACGGGAGGGGCTCGGAGTAGAGCCACTGCTCCTCCACGTCGAGAGGAGCCAGCTGAGGTGGCTTAGGCATCTGTTACGGATGCGTCCTGGGCGCCTCCCCCAAGAGGTGTTCCGGGCATGTCCCATGAGAGGTGTTCCGGGAGGTGGCCCCGGGGAAGACCCAGGTCACACTGGAGGGACTATGTCTCTCGGCTGGCCTAGGAATGCCTTCGGGTCCCCCCGGAGGAGCTGGAGGAAATGGCTGGGGTGAAAGAAGTCTGGGAGTCCCTGCTTAGACTGCTGCCCCCGTGACCCGGCCCCGGATAAGAGGAAGATAGATAATGGATGAATGGACAATTTTTACTTTCATTTCACTTCTTACAACTTTCAAATGTGTATCTCTAAATGTAAGGATTATTTTTGCTATCCACCTGCAGTGTCTTGCTTTAAATGAATCTGAAGTACACCAGTATGACACACTGCACTTGAGAAACTCCATAAAATATCCATAAAACAAGCATATACAGTAGGACCATTGTACGTGCACAGTTTCTAAAAAGCAGCAATCTTCCGTTCCATTGTGCATGTTGAAGTAAAGAGGAGCGGGTCAGCAACTCATTCACTTTCCCGCTTTAATCAGTATCAATAGTGTAGTGCTGTGTGCCTCCCAGCGCCGCGCAGCACTGAGACAGGCCCTAATCAATGCAACAAATTACCTGCTATTAGCCACTGACCACAGCTTTGTATCTTTTCACTGTGCTTTAGGTGCACTCGGCAGGCTGCAGCGCTTTAAACATCAATACCATACATCAATGCCTCATGATATGTGATGTAATAGCACTATTACTTTATACAAATCCCATTGCAATAGTGTAATGTTTCGTTAAAAACAGCTATGTCGTTAGAGCAGTTTTCTTGTAAATTGCTGGAAGGAGCCATGCCTTATTGCCACACATTTGGGATATAATATTATGCACACTGACCACAGTGCCATCTGCTGCCTCTAGAGTAGTGGTCACAGGTTATGGAGGCCTGTAGGAAAATGCAAATGAGGTACATAGATAATCATATGTGAATACAGACAGCCCCAAAATAGTGTAATTTGAATTTGAAAAATTCCAGTGTGAAAAATAAAGAAAAAGAAAATCTCTTACTTGCACCTTGACAAAAGTAAGTCTGTCACAATCACAAATTTTGAAGTGCTATATATTTCGCAATAAAATATAGATGATAAGTGATAATACTGAAACTAATTTATGTCACTGTCACAATAACCCTAAAGCAGAATTCTCTCAAATCTATTCTAAATAAAATAACTGTAAAAAGCATGAATCTGAAGAAGAAGAAGTGATTAGTTTGTATTTATAATCAGTCATGGAAGTTACTTGTTGACCCTAAACTCCTCCAATCTTATGCTACTACAAAAAAAAAAGCAAAAAATCCTCACTAGCATGCAAAAATGTACACAACATATATACTGAAAAATATATTGTTCCAGTTTTCCCATAGAGAATGATAAGTCAACATAGTAATTATTGCATTATTGTATTATTATTGTACTCACAAATCGAATGCCTAACTGTGTTTCATAATCTGCACAACTGAATTCATGATAATGTTGTGCTGTTTCTGCAATTTCATTTAAATTGTCAACTATTCTAGTGAAGGCTGTGCCATCTGCTGTCTCCACATCTCCCAGATGTTATTACTCGCCTGGAATGTTTCGCAATATGGTAGTCTATTAAACTTATGTATCTCCATGGAGACAAGTATGCTACCACAGAGCAAAGATAAATGTAGAGAGCCGACCCTGCTTTCAGAAGGAATGAGTATTTGTTAAGCTATTTGAGGAATAAAAACTATTTAAATTACATAACTTTAACCACAAGATTTTAAAGCATATTTTAGCTCATTGACATAATTTCCTCTTGATAATGCCAAGAATGTTCAAGATGCAAATTTATAATTGTCAGTATATGAACATACAGGCCTAGTGGTCAGAATGAGTGTGTCCAAAACTATAGTAACCATATATGACAGCATAGCACCAGCGCCTCTCCAGTGCAATGTTGAAACTCTTTGTGATACATATTTGATTATACACAGACTGCCTCCTCACTGCATTCAAGATGGAAGCCTTTGGGCAAAAAACAAACAAGTCAGTAAAAGACCGGAGGTGACTGTGGTGCAGCTTGAAGAAGTTGGTGCGCGAGTCAAAGTTTGGAGAAAAAAAGAGATGCAAAATGTGCAGCTATAATGTGGAGGGTGCGCCGAGACTGACAGCCTGCCAGAGTGAAGCGATCAGCAGGGATTCAAGGGAGCTGTGCTAAATGCTTAGATTGCACTCTGACTGGAGAGGCAGGGAGGTTGATAGCCAGTGGGCAATAGTTAAAAATATTCTAAACAAAAAAGTTGCTACTTTACAAGTTGAGATTGTTGGAGGAAAGATGTTTCAGTTATTATAAAAAAAGATGCATTCTGAGATGAAGTCAGCATACAAGGCATGTTTCTATTTTATACTGCATTTTATACTGCAGTTGTGTTGTTGAGACCTGTTGGAACTTTGCAGCCTTGAGTAACTTGTATGCAAATAGCAATAGGCCAAATGGTCATCAGCGTGATAGATGTTATCATAAAGCAGGTCTATAGGACAAGTCACCCTCATGCTTCATGGCTCTGTCCACACAGGCTAAAGGATCATGGAATTTAAAGGTCCTATATTACACAAAACCGACTCTTGTGAATTTTACGCCACGCTATAAACATACCTGGAGTTGTGTTTTGTTTTATTAACACATCTTTGAGCAATCCTTTATGTCTGTCTACATCTCCAGAACTCAAAATGTTCTATTCCACCTTGTGATATCATGTAGTGATAGCTTTGAATTTAACAGAGACCCTTTTGTTCAGTAGAGATTGGTAATTCCAGGATTGAAATAATCCAAATGATTCAGTGTGTGAAGTTTAAAAACACAGTGCAGGCCTTCCTTTATTACCACATGACATCACAAGGTGGAAAGTGTGTCATTCATATGTTGTAACCATATGAATGAAACAAAATACAACTCTGGTATATTTTTGATGAGGAAACAACAGTATGACAGATATCTGAAATATCCAGATATTGGCCCTTTAAATTTTGAGAAAGAAAGGTTATCTTTCCCAAGCTATTGTGCTAATTGTGCTAACTAGTTTTCCCATTAACTGTCTATTTTTCTATTGATCCATTTGTGTGCAATGCTCTTTCCAAACTGTAAGAGGCGGTCTTTACTAAGTAAAACAATTTCTTTCTGCAAAAGAAGAAAAAAACTGTGGTTTAATACGCCCAGCGTTTTGTCTCTTGGGCATCAAGTAGTCAGCAGGGATCTTTTTTTCTTTCTTTTCATAACTCTTTATTTACTTTTATTTCAATAAAATTATTATTGTACGTACTTTTTACTGCAGTTTGCAACATTACTGAATTAATATCGACCCTTAACATAGATTCATTATTGTCTATGAATCTATGAGTAAAGTCTTATGGGGAAAACAACGGGCAAAAATAACGAGAAAGTTCCAGTGAGTAAGTTACCTGTTACTCATGTGGTTTATCAGAACTGACAGCGAGTCTCACACTACGGAGGAAAAACGTGGACAATAACTTGCCGTTTTGCGTTATTTTTCAGTAATATTATCAGTTTGACAACGAGTCAAATACCAAGCGAAAATGACAAAACAGTCCTCATTGTTACTTCGCAAACAATTAGCAGGTAAGTGTGTAAAAGTTTGTTATTTCAAAGAGAGCGCGACGAATAGTGACAGCCTACAAAACTTATTCAGGTATTTTGTTACAATTCTGTTCGGAATTAAACTTGGGCCTATGGTTTCACTGTCGACTACATGTCACACAGTCAATGAATGCGTTATTTCCACGTGGTAAGGAACAAAAATACATGTGAAACTGCAGACCCGGGCGCCAGACAGATGGACACGTTTCTTGCGCAATCCTTTTCCACTAAAAAGACTAACTTCGACAATATTCATCTTGCTTTGTAACTTTTGTGTTTAGAGCTCAATAAGAATCCAGTGGAAGGATTTTCAGCCGGTCTTGTGGACGACGAAGACATCTACAAGTGGGAAGTGCTGATCTATGGACCCCAGGATACATTGTAGTGAGTTCAAAGCAAAAGCCTCTTCTAACAACATCTTCATTTTGTGTGCAGTTAAAACTCCTAAAACTTCTCTGTCCCTCTTTTTACAGTGAAGGAGGTGTATTTAAAGCATCCCTCACCTTTCCTAAAAACTATCCCTTGAAACCCCCCAAGATGAAGTTTATTACAGAGATCTGGCACCCAAATGGTAAGGGTTTCAAAAACACAAAGTCGTAAAGCTATGTTCTGTAACTATCTTTTTATTATACTATATTATTAAGATTAGGCTATGTATCATAATATAGTTCAAAGTTGCCAATTACACCTATATATACACCTATAGTAATCATAAAATTACCACACATTCAGACTTGGTGTGTGAAGTGTCTTGCCCAAGGATACAACAGCTTTATGCGCAGGTTACAACAGGAAAGATTGGATGCAGCAGAACTTACAGTATTCTTAGGATTGATTAAGGTTAGATTTATGAGTGGTTATCAGAGTAGCAGATGTTTGAGATAAATTTTTCAGGAACTGAATATAGCCTGCGCTCTTACCGTTTTATAAAATGCGCTGCAATCACAAATCACACTGGGCTACTGGAGCTTAAACTAGCAGGTAGAGCACAAATATAGGTTTTTCTCACTATATGGACAGGTGATGCCTCATGTGAAAGAGTAGAACCTCCAGAATTCACTCACTGAACTGCGGGGGCTGCACTAACACTGATTCATGATTGGCTGCAGGCACTGGAGTTTAGGTAGTGACCATTCAGATCAGAGAGTCGTTTTAGGTTTTAAACCAAATGGATTTCAGCCTTGAAACTGGCAATCCAAATGAGAGACTCATGTGAGGATCATTATGCTTTCTGATTTGATAATAGTCTTGAGAATCAAAGCACCAAATTATAACATGTTGCATCCTGTTCTGTGTTTTTGTAAGAATAAATCAACATTACAATTGTTATCAGAAAGGTCATGTTTATGAGATTTAAAATGGTAATTTTACATTCAGTTCCTAGAAAACACTGATTATAGAACTACCGTGCTTTTGTTTTTCAGTACCTACAGTAATTGATGTTGTGATGCCATTGTTTTTCTCCTAGTGGCTAAAAATGGTGACGTGTGCATCTCCATTCTGCATGATCCTGGTGAGGATAAATACGGCTATGAGAAGCCTGAGGAGCGCTGGCTGCCAGTTCATACAGTGGAAACTATAATGATCAGTGTAATATCCATGTTAGCTGACCCCAATGGAGACTCTCCTGCCAATGTAGAAGCAGCGGTGAGTGTTTTTGAAATATACTATGTGGTGGTGTGACGGCCACGTGAAGGCCACTATAATGTAATCTTTTTGTGTCTACAGAAAGAATGGAGGAAAGACCCAAATGGAATCTTTAAGAAGAAGGTTGCTCGCTGTGTTAGGAGGAGTCAAGAGACTGCTTTTGACTAGAATCTTTACAGTAAGTCAAATGACCCCCCCCCCCAAAAAAATCACAATGTATGTTATGTACTATAGACTCCTTACTCATGTTCTTTGTTATTAGGTTCTTTTTTTCAGACCTAGAGTGTTATTTCATACCTGACAGTTTCGACTGCTCACTAGCGTCTTCCTCAGAGTGGTCACGTGAAAAAAAGAACCTAATAACATAGAATATCGGAAGACCAAATGAATCTCATTGGACTCCTTACTCATGTTCTTTTTAGGTTGGAACTTGACAGGAACAAATGACGTTGCACTTTAATAAGCTCTCAGTGCCAAAGTGGAGCGTCTGTTTGTTACAATGTGTTTTATTTTCTAATTTGAGTGTGTGAAATAATTTATTGCCATTTTAAATAGGATTATGTTGTCTTCTCTGTGTCCACACTACTATATTTGCCTCATTTGATTTTTAAATGCAGTGTTCTCTCATTGACTTGTTCAAGTTCTTATTTATTTCATTAATTTCACTTTTTTGTAATGTATTTGTATTTTTAAATTCCGCATTGAGCCATTCACACAAGAGTTTACAAAGTCTTTTGTATCTTTGTTTGGTTTTTCTTTATTGTTATCAAAGCCTTATGTCTTAAAGTCTGTTGTCAAATAAAATGCGAAATGAATGTTTGATTTCATTAGTGGCATATAGAAACCAACCATGGGTTTAGACTTCATAAAAGTTAAATGCCAGCTGCACTTTGTTGCACCAACTATTTTTAATAATGACAAATACATGTCAATTATATCAATGGATATAGGCCTGATGCTCATCTCCATAAGTTCAGTAGTGGAAAACAAACATTAAACATGTACAAATACCTTTACCATTAAATAGTAATGTATAGCAATGATTTTTTTCAGATAAAGCTTTATTACAGCAAATAGTATATTTGTCTCCAAGACATATGCAAAAGGACAAACTTTCAAATTCACCAAGATCCATAATTTTATTGCATTAAGTACCAGCTCAATATGAATAACAACCTTTAAGAGACATTTCTTTGAACTTATTAGTATAAAATCTGAGAAAACAACAGACCCCAACCCCCATATTGTAATCCATTCGTTTTCCAGGTGTGGAGTAGAAAAAAAAAACTGCCCCGGTGACTTACTGACCAGGAGCTGATAAACTTTTGTTCATAAACTGTTTTTTGACAAAGCACACCCACCACTGAAAAAAAAAAGATGCACAAAGCCATATTATGGAACTGCGGTGTAATAAGTATTGAGTTAGCAGACTACTGAACCATGCCCCTCACCTTGCTGGGTTTGTCTGTCTGAGGATCAAAAACACGGTCACATAGCCTCAGGCCAGTCTCCTGTCGGATCTGCTGAAGGTATGCCCGCATGGTCTCTGGAGGATCAACAAAAACGTCATGAAAAATGTATTACACACTATAATACTACACAAACTACTCAAGTATTAAATCAAGTATTCATGGATATCACCTTCCTGTTACTGGAGACATACTGGGGACTTTTCACCATTCAAAAGATACTATAGTTTTAAATTGTTAACTGCCATGGCAACGGCCCTAATTTGTCATCATTCTGAAACCAATGCATAGCTTGTGTTCACATAATACAAAGTGATGAGCTATATAAGATTTACTTTTGACTGAGAACAAGATTTCTGATGCATGAATGATGAATGGTGCGCCGGTTTTTGTGGAAAATTATCTGTATTAATTTGAGCTAAGACATTGAACTGTGTGCCATTGTTTTTTTGTTTTGTTTCATGTGGACAACCCAAGTAATTACGGAGATATTAACTATAAACCAGATCATCACATTGCCAATCGTACAGTTAAACATCAAATTCCACCACAGACTTCTGTTGTCCTTGTCCTTCAGCTCAGTTTTAAGCTATAGGGATTCTAAAATGCTGTGATGCTACTTGAACCCAATGAATGACAAAGTTCTTACCGTCCTCCTGCTTGTTTGCGGGTTTTGCATACATTGCATTGAGAGGGAAACCAGGCTCTCCGGGAATAGGAAAGTTAGTAATGCCCAAGGTGTACATCTCCTTTTCACCCTGGCCCCTGGAGCTGCACTATAAAACAAATATAAAAATATTTTCATATTTAAGAAGACACCTAGCAATGTAATGTGTACTTAGAGTGATCATTTTACCTTCTGTAGTTTCTTCAGACATTCAGAGATGTAGAGAGTGACATAGATCAGTGTTCTATCGGCCTCATTCTGAAGAAGAAAATAAAAACAAATAAATACATCTATTTTGAATACGCACATTAAAAACAATTTGAAGTGTTAAAGTGTTATGTAAAATACAAAGCAGTA